TTCCAATTTATATATATTGGACAGAAGAAATGATTATAAGCACGTTTTATAGAATATTCTAGATTTTCCAGGACATTCTTGATTAGTCTTTGTTATAGAACGTTCTAGTAAGATAGGATTATAAAATGTCTATTTATAGATTAAGCTTGACTTCTTTATCGTAATTTCTGGAAGCTTCTATGATGTAATGTTAGAACATTCTAGAAAGATTGTAAAGGACTATATAAGAAGTTGCTGTAGTGTGTGTTGAGAGTTCTTTGTGAATTGTACGTTCGATACAAGTGCGAAGAAAATAAAGGGAAAATTGATCTCAAGGTTTATCGCGAAACCAGTTTGGTAGCAGAGCGAGGTTACAATAAGAAGACGACAAGTGGAAACTTAAGCAAAACCGATGGGTAGGAAAAAGAATCTAAGAAGAAAAGGAGCATTTTACAGCGACGATGAAGACAGAAACGAAACCTCTCAAGTCGGAGGGAGATCTAACGAAGGAAACAACGCTTTGGAGAGGCAAAAACAATCCAAGTCAAGAAGCAAAGCGGCTTTCACGAGAGCAAGACATGGACTTCTACAGTTACTGGAAGAAGACTTACCTAATCGTAGCCAGGTAAGAGAGGCACGAGAAAAGCTAAACAAGCAACTAGATAAAGTAATGGAGGATTTAGAGGCTTTATCTACGATGTACGAGAAAAGACAAGATRSCGTAAATATAAGCAAGTTAAGTCAAGAAATAGAGAGAATCGAGGAAGAGTTCACGGACGCTCAGGATAGGGCACAAGAGTACCTAGACTCCAGGAAAGACGAATTATCAAGTATCGCATCGGAAGAAAGAAAGCGGAGCAAATGAAAGTAAACATATTGAAAGAAGAAGAAGCTATTCAGACAGAAAAGAGAAAAATAGAAGAAGAATACGCTAAGAAAATGAAAGAACTTGAAGCTCGATCACTACAAAGAAGAAACCAACTAATCGATGTTAAAGAGGAATTCAGAAGAATACAAATCAAAGCAGAAAAAGAGATCGACAAGGAGCTTGGGCTAGAAGAGGACTATGTCGACGGGCCAGAATGCGCCGATTCCGAGCAGAGCGAACAAAAACCAAGGATCAAGACGGAGAACTATAGCGGGTTTACGACTAAAGGCCAAGAAGAGACGCAGAGCGTGAAGGGCAAAACGTCGCCAGCGATGGAGATTGGCCAAGACCTTTGGAAGCAGCTGAAGAGAGTGTCAATCCCTGTGTTCAACGGAGACAAAGCCAACTACGAGAATTGGAAAGCAGCATTCGAGGCATGCATCTACAAGGCACCAGCTACTCCAGAGTATAAGCTACTCCAACTCAGACAATATTTGTCAGGAGAAGCACTCAAGACCATAGCAAACCTCGGTCATTCAGCGTCCGCTTACGACGCTGCAAAGAGCAGGCTGGAGAGGAAATACGGCGGAAGAAGGAGGCAGATCGCGCTGCATCTTGAAGAACTTGAGAACTTCAAACCAGTAAGGCCAGGACACCCAAAAGATATCGAGAGATTTGCAGACATTTTGGACATCGCAGTTGTTAACCTGAAGGAGGCTAGACGATACGAAGAACTGGGTAATGGATCACTCTATGCAAAGTTGCAGAAGAAAATGACGGAGCAAATGTTGGCACAGTACCACAGATGGATATATGAAAGAAGCAAAATGGAATGCGTAGAAACCTTACGAGAGTGGGTAATACAAGAGGCGGAGTTCCAGACAATAGCAGCCGAAACGCTACGTGGACTATCAAGAAGCTCATCTAGTACACAACGGAAAGATCAGACATATTTTGGCCAACCAAGACAACAAAGCGGCTGCAAGGATCAACAGAGAGACAGAAATCGAGCATGCAAGGTCTGCGGAGAAGGGCATCCAGCTTGGTTATGTGGCAAGTTTAAAGCTATGGCAGTACCAGAGGTGGGAAACAGCCAAGCAACACAGTTTGTGTTACAGATGTCTAGGAGCCAACCACACCGGTCAGTCATGCACGAGGTCAAGAATCTGTGGCTTGAATGGATGTAAAGATACGCATAACAGACTGTTGCATGAGGACAAGAAGAGGGTGTCGGACGAGGAGAAGAGTACAGGTGATCAAAAGGCCAATGGCCGCCAAGATACAAAGCAAGGCGTGCAAGGACCTGCCACGGAGGGGGAGCAGCAGAAATCCGAGAGAACACACACGACCACGGTACATGCCAAAGAAAACGTCAAAGAGGAATACATCGCTTTGAGAACAGTACCCGTAATACTAAAGAATGGCGGGCAAAAACTAGTCGTGAATGCACTGCTGGACGACGCCAGTACCAAGACGTACGTAAATAGTGATGTCGCCGCTGATTTAGGACTACAGGGCGAGAGTCGTAAAGTGACAGTCAACGTTCTTAATGGCCAGGAAGATATTTCCGAGACGATGCCGATCGAGTGTGGGATAGAGAGCTTAGATGGCAAAATAAACATGAAGATTACTGCGTTTACAGCGAAAAGAGTCACAGGCAACATGAAAGCAGTTAACTGGGCCAGGTGTGCCAAGAACTGGAGCCACCTAAAAGATATAAACTTCCCTTATCTGGGGCCACGCCCGATTGTTGATATCCTGATCGGTATCGATTATGCTGATCTACACTATTCAATCAAAGATGTAAGAGGGAAACCAGGCAAGCCAGTGGCAAGATTAACACCGTTAGGATGGACATGTATCGGACATCCCAGCGTATGTCATGAGAAGGGTTATCGGACAAACTTTATAGGTACTTACTTCATGCGTGAGGGACCAAGTATTGAGTTGGGCAACGCTATTCGAAAGTTCTGGGAGATTGAAGACGACGGATTACAAATGAAAACCAAGATATTAAAGCCAGAAGATCAAATCGCACTGGAAGCACTTAAGAAGTCAATAAAGTTTGAAGATGGACGATACGAGATTGGAGTACCATGGAAGGAAGAGAAACCGCTCATTCCAGACAACTACGAGACCGCGCTGCGGCGGTTGCAGAATACAGAGAAACGGCTGTGCAGGGATCCAGAGATAGGAAAGAGTTACTCAGACGTGATCAATCAGTACGAAGAAAAGGGTTACATAAGAAAGGTTCCAGAAACGGAGAAAAGGCCAAGCGAATCATGGTATTTGCCCCACTTCGCTGTCGTAAGACTAGACAAAGAAACGACGAAGACGAGAATCGTATTTGATGCGTCCGCTAAGTGCAGCGGGATTTCCCTGAATGACGTCATTCACCAAGGACCCAAGTTGCAGCGTGAACTTTTCAGTGTTTTACTACGATTTCGCAAGAACCCCGTAGCATTAGTGTGCGACATCGCAGAAATGTACTTACGAATAAGCCTAGCACCAKAAGACAGACCATTTCATCGATTCTTGTGGAGATCGTTGGATCAGACTAGGGCACCAGATGTGTACGAGTTCAATAGAGTAGTTTTTGGGGTGAATTCGTCACCATTCCAAGCTCAGTTTGTCACGCAAGAGCATGCGCTAAAGCATAAAGAACAATTTCCAGTGGCAGCAGAGACGATTTTGAAGTCAACCTACATGGACGATAGCATGGACTCCACTTCAGATGACGACACAGGAATAGAACTGTACAGACAGTTATCATAATTGTGGGAAAGAGCTGGAATGCATGCGAGAAAATGGCTATCGAATTCCCCAAAGGTGCTGGAGCAAATACCGGTCGATGACAGAGCTTCCGAGGTAGACTTAGACCAAGGCCATCTACCATCGGTAAAGACGCTTGGGGTACTGTGGGTAGCTGAGGAAGACATGTTTACCTACAAGGCACACCCACCAGGAAAGGAATTCAAGTTTACAAAGCGGAATTTTCTCAAGAGTATTGCAACACTCTTCGATCCCTTGGGTTTTCTAGCACCATACATCGTTCGCGCCAAAATCATTCTACAGGAAATGTGGACCACCGGGATAGACTGGGATGAAAAGATGAAAGAGGAACAAGCAAAAAAGGCAAGACAATGGTTCCAAGAGTTAGAGTCCCTACAGTACGTACGAGTTCCGCGATGCCTGCAACCTAATTTTGGTGAGGTGATTTCAACAAGTTTACATTCGTTTGCCGACGCTTCAACAGCGGCGTATGGAGCAGTGGTGTACGCAAGAAGTGAGTACAAAAGTGGGACTGTTACTGTACGAATGGTGGCATCGAAATCAAAGGTCGCACCGCTTATAGCCATGAGTATAGGACGTCTTGAGTTGATGGGGGCAGTGTTGGGATTGAGATTGAGTATGTCAATAGCCAAGGCATTAGACATTGATCCAAGCTTAACCACGTACTGATCAGATAGTATGAACGTGTTATGGTGGATACACCGACCAAGTAGAGTCTTCAAGTCATTTGTAGCAAACCGAATCGGAGAGATCCAATTATCAAGCAACCCTAACCAATGGAGATACGTGCCAACCAATCACAATCCAGCGGATGTTGTCACGATAGGATTAACAGTTCCAGAACTTGCCGAAAAGATTTCATGGTGGGAAGGACCGAGTTACCTCAAAGAGAAACCATCAGACTGGCCAATAAACAAGATCCCACATGCCAATGCATCTGATACAGAAGTAAGGAAAACAAAAAGGTGCCAGCTAGACACCTGCGATAAAAGAGGCAGAACGATGGTGGTTATCAAAGGAGAAGACGAACCGCGCTTAGAACCAAAACGTCTTTCAAGTTGGTTGAGACTAACCAGAATCCAAGCATGGATTTACCGCTTCCTGAACAACTGCTTACTTCCAAGCAGTAAACGAACAAGGGATGAGCTGACTGTCGAGGAAATCCAGGATGCTGAGAACAGGATTATTAAAGCAGCACAGAAAAGGGCATTTGAAGCAAAGTATTCAGCATTATCCTCTGGAAAACCACTTCCCATCACCAGTAAGTTACTTACGTTAAAGCCAAGACTGGACGACGACGGTGTGATGAGGTCAGATGGCCGATTAGAGAATGCCGAGTACTTACCATACGATGTCAAGTATCCCATAATATTGCCTAGAAAAGAGTGGGTAACTAGGCTGATAGTAAGGTGGTTTCATCAGCAAGGAAATCACACATCAGGGACAAACCAAACGTTAGCAATGCTTTCGTCGCGTTTCTGGGTAATGCAAGGTCGAGAAGAAATTAGAGAGTGCGAAGGAGAATGTTACGAATGCCGAAGAAGAAAAGCAAAGGCAGCTCAGCAAATCATTGCACCTCTACCAAAGATCAGGCTTAAGATGCCGCTTCGTGCTTTCGCTCGCACAGCAGTTGATTTTGGAGGCCCGTTTATAACAATCCAAGGAAGAGGACAGCGTAGAGCTAAAAGATACCTTTGCCTGTTCACGTGCTTAACTTCAAGAGCGGTACATCTGGAGATTGCATTTGGTCTCGACACTGATTCATTTCTCAATGCGTTTTATCGAATGGCAAGTCGACGAGGGCTTCCAGAAGAAATGATTTCGGATAATGGAACCAATTTCGTGGGAGCCGATCGAGAACTACGAGAGCTGGTAGAGAAACTAGACAAGAACAAGATTGCAAGTTCAACTGCAAATAGAGGGGTAAAATGGCATTTTAACCCTCCTCTGGCTCCTCACTTTGGGGGCGTACACGAGACGATGATAAAGGCAGCAAAGAGAGGAATATGTGATATATTAGGAAATGCTGATGTAACAGACGAGTAGTTGATGACAGCTTTTACAGGTGCTGAAGGACTTAAAACTTTCGACCGTTAACCTATCAGTCAGCCAATCCAGCAGATAACGTCCCATTAACACCGAACCATTTCCTTCATGGTCAGGTAGGCGGAAAGTTCGCTCCTGAATCCGTAGACGAGACAGATTTTAATCTCCGAAAAAGATGGAGACGCGTTCAAGAACTAGTTCGACATTTTTGGAACCGCTGGATGCGAGAATGGTTACCGAGGTTAAATGCAAGGAAAAAGTGGTTCAAACAAGGCAAAGACTTAAAAGTTGGCAACACAGTATTAGTAATTTCTCCGGATACGCCACGTGGACAATGGCCGTTGGGCAGAATAACTGAGACGATTCTTGGCAAAGATGGCCATGTGAGAGTTGCTAAAGTCAGGATTGGACAGAAAGTCTTTGAAAGGCCTATATCAAGATTATGCCAGCTGGAGTGCGAAATAGACGATTGACATCCCACGACTAAGGTCGCAGAGTTCTACAGTCGATGAGCCTACAGCCCATCGAGGAGGGGGAGGATGGACAGAAGAAATGATTATAAGTACGTTTTATAGAACATTCTAGATTTTCCAGGACATTCTTGATTAGTCTTTGTTATAGAACGTTCTAGTAAGATAGGATTATAAAATGTCTATTTATAGATTAAGCTTGACTTCTTTATCGTAATTTCTGGAAGCTTCTATGATGTAATGTTAGAACATTCTAGAAAGATTGTAAAGGACTATATAAGAAGTTGCTGTAGTGTGTGTTGAGAGTTCTTTGTGAATTGTACGTTCGACACAAGTGCGAAGAAAATAAAGGGAAAATTGATCTCAAGGTTTATCGCGAAACCATATATTTTTTCGCGTGCAGTTGCGCTCTCCGATCGTCCGTTCTAGAGTTTTCCATTTCATTAACCATGTGATTCCACTAGTGTGCGTCTCCCACCGGTTACATTGAGGCAAAAGTTGTCGCATGATACCATCTATCATTTCTTCGTAAACATCAGGAAATTCAACTGTAACAAATATTTAACAATTATTCGTCGAAGGCGAAGTGCTTATCGTGGAATATTTACCGAGACGCGAGTCTTCGAGCGGCGAGGAAAATATTCCCCAATAATCACTGAGCCTGAGAGACGAATCCGCGGGCGAAGTGCTGCTAGATCCTGCAACTGTCTTGCTTTTACGTAAATAAATTCAATACAATAAAAAAATAACTATATAATAAGACTAATAAAACAGCCATACCCTTGCTCTGCAAAAATAAAAACGAAAGAAGTGTAAGGGGAAACACGAGCCGTAGGCGAGTGCTTCTAATACTTCTTGAGTGCTTACGTCACTTCCTGCGTGCTTTATTACTAATTTGCTAATTCGTCTTTGTTTGTGACTTAACCCATACAGCTCGCAGCAGATGGTTCAGCTTCTTATTCTTTAGGAATAAGCAAACAGATTGCAAATGGGGAATGCTCAACTACAGGAGGATGCCAGTCCTCTCTATCACAGGTAACAATATGTCTATGTTTGTTATGATTAAGTAAAGATGCAGACAAGAACGATAGCACTCAACGACATGGAATGTAGAAAGGTGATAATTGTAGTATTGTTTAAACCAATCTT